AATAAAGATAAATACAAATCAGGCTTACTTAGCGAAAGAAGCTCAACGAGAATAAATTCGATCATTCGAAATGAAGAAAATCTTTCTCTACCCCATAACCATATGAATACCATAATGACGATTAATTTTAGGATAAGATTTTGAAAAAAACTCAGAATCAACCATGGTAGAAGTAAATTTGGCCGACTCCACGTTAAAATTGGATAAAAATTTATTATATAGAAAAATGTATAAATGTAAGCAACGATCTTCCTTGTAATAACAACCCATGTTAAAACTGATTATAATTAGAAAATAATTATTAATAGAATATATCATTCTCGGGTTACATATAGAATATATTTATCTCGATACTAACTTGTTTTTATCCAATATTCGAAATCTGTATAGAAAATGAGATACTGTTGAGTCAATGATAGATTCCAAATCTTTTCAATTTGTTTGGACCAGTCAAAAGGACGCCATTCCAATGTGCTGTTGAGCTTCGGAATATTATCATCTCGTTATTTACTTTAACGATTTCAGAATTATTATTTTCATGATATATCAATTTTCTTAAGATGATAGATATATCTTTATGATTATACTTAGAACATTATAAATAGAAAAATAAATTATATCCAAAAGTTATTTAAAAAATCTTACCAAACCTAACAAAGTCATTACTAATAATTCAGCTTGAAAAGATATTCCTATGTAATGTCCAACGAATCTTGGCATCCTGCACTTAAAATTTTAAAAGAAATATAATTTTCTTAATTAAATGATATTACCGAAAATGAATCATCATGTTGCTTAGATTTTTTGGAATTTCGAGTATTAAAATAATTAAAAATATTCGATGAAAAAAATGATTTAAACAATATCACTCATGGATTCGTCTCATCTGTCATTCGATAGATGCATATGCTTGAATGCAGCGCGTACAGCTGTTTAAATTCAACCATTTATAAATAATACTAGCATCGCCAGAAGATGTGCTTTTATTTTCTTTGCATTTCTCATTTTCATATGCTTTCATTCATATATTTAATGATATATACGCTTGCGTATATATAAGCCCGCTTGAGTTTATCAATATATACGAAAGTATTCAAATGAACATCAACATGTGACATGCAAATATAAAATTGTATAATTTAATAGGCTGAGTTTGAGCGCGCCGCAGTCATCATTGATTTATAATCTTTAGAGAAAAAATCACTACAGAATTAAATGAAAAAAAAAAGAAATAAAACAATGGTGCATAAAAATAAAACGCGTAAGATAAATTATACGATTTATTACAAATATTGCTTACAACTTTATAAACCCACAGGATAAGTTATAAGACTTAATAAATTTCTGTTTTAACATCTCTTAGCGAAAAGTTAATGAAATTATTTTCCATCAAGAACAGGTTCTATTGTCTGTCCTCCACAAATTTGACCCCAACCAATTAAACGCCAATGCTTTTCAATACGACGCGATAATGCAATCTTTTCGTCAATTTCAGTACACACTGGACTTGTCAAACTTATTTTAGCTAAATCGGCACGAGTAGCTACAACTCGACCACCGGTACTAAGAGAGCCAATGTTCACTAACAATACTTCGTGTCTAGATAATTTTGGTACCTACAAAAAAAAAATTATCAAAGACCTCAAATTATAAAAATTATAGATCATAAAAAAAAGATAAATAATAATAATCTTACTCTCGCTCCTTTTTTATCACCCTCTGTTCTTACACCCAACAAACGTTTCAAAAGATAGTACGATATCTCAAGTTCAATAAATATTTTAGGTAATGCCCCAACAGCTCCCAATATTTGTCCCACTAAACGATCAGCTCTGCATAAAGTTGGTTCGATTTTCGTTCCGACACCTTCAAGAATTATAGATCATTATACTAATGCTAATTTATTTATTATAATTAAATAGATTCGACTAATATCACTACGCTTATATAAATGAAGACATTTTTATAAAAAGATTAAATTTTCCGTAATTTCATAGATATAATTTAAGAAATCTCAGAAGACAATAAGAATTCAAAATTGATTTCTATTTTGTTTATAACTAAATGTGGAATCATACGAAGGAAAATTGAAAAAATATATTATTAGAATTGATAATCAAATCGTAATAACAAGAATTAAGTAAAAATAGAAAGAAGTTTTATAGGAAAAGAATCACACATATGACATAATATATCCTAACTTCTTGTTATCTTATTTTTTATATGAATATACCAATGCACCTGCTTTGTCCAAATGCACTTTATTCTTAAATGCACCCCTATTTTTTTTTTTTAACCAATCGATTTTCTTTTTTTATCCTGCGTATAAAAGTATTAACCCAAAATTATCGAAATATCAATAATTTACGAGATATTTGATATTTTATATCGTTACTTCATAAGGCTATCATCCTTATATTGAACATCCTATTATTCGTAAAAGTATATTCATCAGGAAATGAGGACGTATTATGTCATATGATTTTTTCTTCAATCATTTTTTCTATTTTTACTTAATAAAGAACAGTTGCCTATCCCAATTCCAAGAATCGTCCTGAATATGCCTTTCATATCGTTTTCATAATTTTGAGTAATTTCTCTTCGAATTTAAGATTTCTTGTGTCACTTCTGCACAATTTTTCTGCTTTAAACAGATACGTTAACATTCTATCTTAGTCTGGCATCACAGAAAATGCAATCTTGAATCTAATCTATCAAGGATATTGCAAAAGATACATTTTATTAAGTAATAAGTAATTAATACAGTAAATTACTTACCTATAAGACCACCCGGAACTGCAAATTGTAATTCATTTTGCTCAGCAAATAGCGAAACGATGCGTGAAAATATAGGACGACATGTTAATTTCCCTTCGCTATCTTTCGAAACTAATCCAGGTCGAACTTCAATTTCCATGCCAACCTGTAAAAATGTAAAAATATACTCTTTCTATTTCGGTTATTTATTTAAAATAAATAAAAAAGAAACCCAGAAAACTAAAAATACTGCTGTGAAAAATTTAAACGGAAGAAATAGATATAAAAAAGGGATAAGAAGTACCTTCAGTACACCTCTCAATATACTTCCTCCTGCTACTCCACCCTTAAGATCATCTACTTCGCAACCAGGCTTATTAACGTCAAAAGATCGGATAACGATCAATCGTGGTTCTGATGTAAAATCTCTAAGTGGAACCGGAATTTTCTTTGTTATGTACTCGCACAATACTTCAATGTTATATTTTAATTGAGCAGATATCGGAATAACAGGAGCTCCTTCCGCTACAGTACCTGATTTATTTAAGATAGAAAATAATTATATAGACAATTATCTTAAGAATAATTGATAACAAAATATTAATGTTTTAATTCTTTTTTTAATTACTATTTACTATTTATTATTACTATTATATACTATTTAAAGAATTTGTATGTATGTATATATTTAGTACTAATTAATATTGCTATATAATATTACCTTGAACGAATTTCAATATTTGTTCATACTGCTCTTTTGCTTGAGCTTCTTTTACCAAGTCAATTTTATTTTGCAAAATGATTATGTGCTTTAGTTTCATAATTTCAATAGCAGCTAAATGTTCAGAAGTTTGTGGTTGTGGACAAGACTCATTGCCAGCTAAGTAAAATAAAAGAAATTATTTCAACCTCAAATAAATTAATTATAATTTTGATCTAACACATTTGTAGAGTTTATAAATAATACCGATTAAAAGTAATGCTGCATCCATAACAGCTGCTCCATTAAGCATAGTTGCCATAAGAATATCGTGTCCAGGACAATCTACGAATGAGACATGTCGAACTAATTGAAATCGTCCAGAACAAACTGGACGCAAGCAGGGGAAAGAATCATCTTTGCTAGATCCTCCTGATATGTAACAAGCTGGTCTTGGACATTTTTCATTATCACACTTATAAATCTTTGCATTCGCATATCCTAAAACAAATTGAAAATTCAAGAGAAGAATTCATTAATGAAATTTTTATCTGATTGAATATAAAAAAACAAATGTATATTAGAGAAAAATAAGATAAATAAAGCGTAATAAAGGTGTCTTTAAATTTATTACATGACAAAAATAATATAAACAATTTAAAGAAAAATAAAAAATAATAAGATATATAGTTCTATATATCTATACGAGATAAAGAAAATTGTAAAGCTTATAAAAAGTTATAAAAAATATGTGTATGTATATACTAAAAAATTATTTTACGCATCTCTAAATAATAATCAAAAGATTATAAAATATTGTTTTAAATCTCTTTTCTCACGCTTATATCTTAAATAATTCTTATGATAATTCATTGTAAGAAATCGACTCATTGTATTCATCTAAACAAAAACATGTAAAAATGACCACATCACAATATTACATATAACAAACATACAGTTTTTTGTACAAATACGCGTTATTTTTGTAATCGTATAAATTTACTTTTCTACCCCAATAAAAGCTACTTGAGAATGTAAAATTGATCCTTATTTTAAATGACTTTTTATGGTTCCATTTACACATTTTATATTTAGCATTGTTTTTGTGAAATAAATTACCCGCACAAATGGAGGAATAACCGTACTACTGCTAATATAAGCTAAATATATTTATAGTGTAGATTATTTCTATTTATTTACATAATTTTTCATAGAAGATATAATACGAAAATCATATAAAATATTGCTTTCGTCACAAACATTAATATTACCAAGCGTATGTCATAATGTACCATCAGTATTTCTATTTTTTATTTCTTTTCCAATAACGATCAAATCTTGATTGATATTTTTAAAACATTGATTTTACATATAAAAATATAACAGTAATTGTGTGTAAGTATAGGTTTTCTCATTCTGTTATCATTACTTAGTTTGCATTATATTCTAATATCCTTAAGATATTGTATAGTTATGCAACATTAAATTGTCACTTATTTATATATTTAACGAAATAAATACATTATTACATTCGCAAATTATTTAATGATGAACGTATTTTATTTTGAATGAAAACAATAAAAAAAAATAATAATAACTTTACTTATTGAAAATACATGATAAAATCTTAGGAAAGTAATTAAACTATAAGCACACGCTAATGTAATCTTTATGATTATAAACAAAAGTTTTCTTTTCATAAATAGTTCTTATAGTACTCCTTAAAATAAATACTTTCTACAATTCTTAGCACCACACTTGCAGAAAACTTTACTAGTAACAGTACTCAAATCAGGTGAGTCTCGTCGTGTTTCCATCTTATTTGTTGGGGATGTATCAGTCTCTTTTTCTTCCTCAATAATATCATCCTTCGTCTCATGCATTATCTTAAAAGGTTGAAACACATAATCAAATGTAACTTCCTCGTTCTTTTGGATATCTTTTGTAGCAAATAATGCGAGTTTCGGAAGGTTAGGATCGAGACAATCGATCCAAACGCCATAGACTGTCAAGTTAGGATCACAGGAATGATTGATAAAATGAGATATGTTACCATATACAGCTGCGTCAACCGTATAAAGACATTGATTATCGATTTCATTATAGTCTAGGTCAAAAAGGTATGTTCTACCCGCAGCATCATATTCTTTGCCACGTTTATCAGCCTCATCGCTTGAAATTACTTCTCCCACATATTGTGTTACAAAGGAACCCTTCTTGATACTTTCCAATGTTTTTACACCCCAACCTCTACCATTGTCAGTTTTAAAAATACAAAATTTTCTATTAGTACCACGTTGAATAATACGATTTGGACAATCCATATCACATTTACATCGTTTGTTGCATTCGTATATTGGTGTACCTGGCTTAACACGAATTTTTCCCTTCAAAGTATATGGGAAAGTACTATCATTTTGTACAAAACAACATTTTGTATTAGAACCACAATTAACACAATTGCAACCAATTGGAGGATCTTCGGGTATTATTACACCCTCACCCGGAAGATAATCTTCGATATAAAAAAAATTTTCTGGAGGGCCTTCAAGATCTACTAAATTTTCTACAAGTATCAATGGTTTTTCTTTACTGATACTATTCATCTCGTTTTCCCAGTCTTTTAATAATTCTAATTGTTCCCTTCTTAAGTCACACAACATTGACCGCAAGATTTTCTCTTTAATGCTTATCTCTACTTTGTGTCGTCTTGATTTAACAAGTTTAAAATAATGATTTATATTAGAATAAAGAATATTTTCATCTATTGAAGCACAATCAATTAATTCTCCTTTTTGCTTGATTTGTTGTAAATATTGGTGAACGTCTTGTTTCGTTGGATAAAAATTAACGTCTCTTTTAAATTTGCTCAATAATTTGGACATTTGGGCCTTATTCTCAAACTTCTGCAAAAGTTCATTGCAATTAGTTAGATTCTCCAATGGTTCCCATGTATTATAATTCTTAGACCAATCTTTCCACTTAACCAAATATAACGTAACACCATTTACTCTTGTCTTATTTAAAATTTTCTCAACTTCCCAAATCTCCTTTTTAGACGTTTTTACTTTGACGTTATTATTACACAGGTTATTGTATTTAATATCTTTTAAAATAATTCGTAGTTCTTTCAATTTAAATTTCGCAAAATCACACTTTATTGGAGTGTTAGATCTTGTGTTTCTTTTGTAACGTGCATCAGTATTTGATGAATAAAATTTTTCCACATTTCGATTATTTATATCGAATATTTTAGATCTTCTTTCTTCTTTACTTAAATTATGATGTAAATTAACACTATCTTCACTGTCGTCTGGATAAAAAGTGGTGTTTTCGTCGATTTTTGGCTTCTTCGAGCATTGTTGGTTGCTTTCAGGAGAAAGCGATCTTTTATCAGGTATGGAAGAGCTTTCACCAGGTATATCTGCTTGTTCCTTACTGCGTCTCTCAACCGGATGCTCTGTAATGCCAAACATTTAAACGGCGTCATTCACTCCGAATTCAAGTTCCATGTTTTAAGTTATTCTGTACAATTGTGTAATCGTTTTTAAGGTCATGTTACCATCATCTCTAAACACCATTTTAATTCCCTTCGATCTTCCATGCATTTAGATATTTATATTATATATTTCAATATATTTTAATTAAGCTTTACAATATTTTAATAAGCTTTTACAATAACTATTTTTATCATTACAATCAAAGGGATATATTTGGTTATATTTTATAAACGAGAATATTATCTTTGATTAAAATAATATAGACTTTGTTTTATAATACAATAAAAATGAATGTAAATATCGATATATTTCAATTGAAAACTTTATTTTCATAAAATAATTCAAAAATTAATTTCGTTATAAAAATTATTATCAACAAATAATATATAATATATAATATAACATATGTAAACACTTAATATATACTTAAAATCCATTGAAAATAAATCTATGATTTCTCTGTAAATTAATAAATAAAAATTATTTACAAATATTTAAAAAGGAAATAATTTTTATGACAATTTAAAAATAGTCCAAATTATCACTAATATCAGATAATTCAGCCACTTATCGCGCATCATAGTATTATCTTTGATTTTTTTATTACAATATTAGACTATGACCAAATATTGCTTTTTTTATTTATAAAGACTATTTAATATTTTTTAATCTTTTAATTATCACTTTTTACAAAATTGTTTTACTTCTTTTTCTCAGTCCTTATAAAAATACATCAAATTGATCAGTATTTTTCACGTAGGTACATTTTCAACCAGCATTAAAAGAGTTTATTAACACTATGTCGTCCGATGCCCTCTAAAAATTATCAGGCAAATACACCACGTTGGTGTCCCGTGCAAAACTATCGAGCAAATGCCGGTGACATCAAATGTTAGCTAGTCCTGCCGGTGCCAGACAAAAGAATCCAGATTACGCATGCGAACGGCATAGTGTTAACTATGCTGCAATTACAATTATTTCTTTATTATTATATTAACCTCTTGGCCTATAACCACGAGTCTGACTCGTGGTAAAGAATTTGTGCCATAAGCGAAAACCATGAGTCCGACTAGTGGTGAGTATATATTTAGCGCCAGTTCGGGTATAGGGCTGAACAGTTGAAGAATGGCATGGCGCGCGACGACTCTCTTGTTTATTATGGCTCGCACAATTGGCAAATATCGTGTAGGCCAAGGGGTTAAACACAAAATGTTTACTTGACAATTTAACTAAAAAAATTTTTTAATTTTTACTTACCTTATATTCATTACATTCAAGCACAACTCACACTTTAATTCACTTTCAACCATAATAAAGTATATTATTCATAAATTATTCAATGCATTACAAGATAACTGTACTTATAATAATTACCAGAACTTGGAAAGGTTCTGAAAATAACTATTCTATACATTTAAATATTAGTTATTAGTGAAACAATTATAAATAACCGATATATTATACAGCAACTTCCAACTACAATATTTAGTGATATCAATTATAAAGAAAGTCGATAAAAAAGAATGATTTTTGAACTGAAAAAAATAATTGTGATGAGAAATATAATAATCAATATCGAAACAGGAAAACGTCGACATTTTAGTTATTCATAACTGTTTTAAAACCAAAAATAATATCATTACTATCTTCAAGCTCTGGTAATTACTACAAAAAAACTTGTTTTATTATTACTTTGAATGCCATGTTGGTCATATATGATCGACCACAGTTTCTCCTATGACACCACAGTGGTCATTGATGACCGGAGTATTTGAACTACTTACAATTGTAAAAGTTGAATGAAAACTTACAGTTAATGCATTTTGAACATTATCACTAATTAGAATACATTTTGAAATAAAAAGTGCCTCATTGAACAATTACAAATTTTTATTAGAACATCGAAAATGAAAGATAAATTTCTATGAAATCCTGAATAATAAAAATACTACCACGACGTGCTGAGCTAACCAAGTTATTTCAGCATAGCAGTAAAAATGTTAAACATACACTATCGACTACAATTTTGGGTACACGTACTCTCTCTCATATATGAAATATCTTTAAATTATTAGAAGTTATATTTCAAATTTGTATAGAAAGAATCGTAAATTATTAAATATTAACATCTATTCCGTAAATAAATAATTTCTTCACTAATACAGAAACTTGCACTACATGTAAGCATATTTATAATGATTAAGTAATCAATAAATGTATAGTAATATATAATTGTATATATCAAAACATTATTTTAAATAAACCTATAATATAGTAAAAATATCAATCCCTTGAAAAAAATAAGCAACTTTTAAAAAGTTAATACTATAAGCAACAGAATTTTATGAATATAAAAATTTTAAATAGATAAAATTTGAATTAAACTCATACTCACCAAGTTTTATAGTGATATTTCTTTCTAATTCATTTTTAAAGCGTACAGTTTGCACACCTGAAATTGCTTTAACGATTGTTGATTTTCCATGTGCTACATGACCTATGGTACCTACAAAAAATAATATAAATAAATAATTAATAGTTGAGAAGTTTTCAGCCTCAAGAAAAAAGAAACTTATTTTTGGAAAACAATAAAAATGAATTTAGCAGAGAAAAAAAATTGTTTCTATATTAGATTGAGAACTGTTCAACCAACCTATGTGTTATCTTCTTATTTTATATATATATATATGATGCAATACTTTACTACTTAAATAAAATATCTAGAATATCTTAACATAGTAACCATATACTTACCGATATTTATTGTAGCTTGTCTGCTAATAACTTCACGAGATAAAGCAGTTAATGTACTGACATCCTAAAATATACAGAAAAAAACAGATTTATTTAAATATATATGTTTTAAGTACACAACATAAATAATAAGTTTTATTTAAAAATTTAATAATTAAATAAAAATGTATATATATAAAATAAATATCTATATATATGTCAGTAAGTTTTAAGAAAAGTATATAATATTAACGAATTTATCATAGTTAGATACAGTGACTCCAAAAAATATTCGGTCAATGTTTATTTATCTCTTATCTATTGTAATTTAATATTTAGAAAATAGTTTTAATACTTCGTAGCGTAAGCATTTTATTTTAAAACATGTCTTAATTTGTTTGACATATTATTTATAATATAAAAAAAATATTTTATCGTTATATTTGCCTATTTATTTTCGGAGCTAAATATTAATTCAGCTATTGAAAAAATAAGAATTTGTTGAAATTACCTTTCTAATTCATTCTCTAATGTTATAGCATACGGTATCGGGTTACGAAAAGCAACTTAACAATGATATTTAATATATATCGAATACTTTCGTAAGCAAAAACTACAACATTATTTCGTATTATAAGATATATGTAAATTTTTAAAATAAATTAAATATGCTTATCAAGATTATAATAAATGATCTATTGCTAGAAATAATAATTAGGGCGATCACATTATACATAACCAAAATATGAAGTCAAGAATTAAGTCATACTGTACTATCCGAATATTTTGAGGTATCGCTGTCTATCAAAAATTGAAAAGTAAGGTTAAATTAAATGTAGCACGCATGGAAATAACCGTTAGACATAAGTTTATTAATATGATTTCACTTACAAGCTTTGAAAGATCCTGTTTATATAAATTAGGTTGACCAGTTGTCACGCCTATTCCTTCTTCACCCCCCATAATTGTTAATAATACGATATATAATAAATTATCAACACACGCGAGGTGCAGTATAAAAGAATTCGAAACTACGTTACGCCTAGCTTAAAATGAACTATAGAAAAAAATCCACTGGAATGAATCTATACATCCAAATTTTAGATGATCTAACCGGAAATCCAATGAAATACTAAAACTGAAAGCAACTTTTACTAACCGGAAATCAAATGTTTAATGTAATTTAAGATACCAAATATATTATTTTTGATTAATAATAATTGTTAACAATAATAATATAAGTAGACTTTGATAATATGTCGATAAATTAACTATTTGTCCAGAATAATAAATAATTTTTCCGAAATATATAAATACCAATTTCTATGTAAACTTCCGTTAGTTTTTTTTTAATTTTATAATAATGTAATCAAAATTAAATATTTTGTGTGTGTGTGAAATACATTTTTTTTTAAATAAATAAATAAATCAATTGAATGATAAAATAAAATGACATTTTACACAAAATTCCATGCGATAAAAATGATAATCACACTTAATTTCATCATTGAATCATTATTATAAAGAGGATTTTCAATTTCATCATATCAAATTTGAAATATTTTTTAATTTGTAGGATTTATAAAAGTGATGAAATAATACTTATTATGTATTTACGTATCATTTCTAATATTGAGCATAGGGATATTTAGCAGTGATATTTGCGACTATAGTGCGTTTTGAGCGTGGAGGTAATAATACAAATGGCGAGGTAGTGAAAAGAAAGTAAAAGATTA